TTGTGGGTGTTGAGGTTAGTTGGCTTGCCGAGCTGGTTTGTTGTTCCGCAAACGTTTCGTTACCATGCTTGGTAACATCCTCAGTGCAGCCTCTGATCAAGCGTCGGTGTGTTTTCCCACCTGGTTTTACTTCTACGACCGCTGGGCATCAGAGTGGCACACAAGCCTATGACAAGTCTCACCCGAACTAAAGACCCACTCCCCGCCACTGACAGGACCAATGTCATCAACAAGATCCCCTGCAGAGACTGCGAGAAACACTACATCGGACAAACAGGAAGGAAACTAATAACAAGAGTACATGAACACCAACTGGCTACAAAAAGACACGATCAATACTCACTCATCTCAATCCACATGGATGAGGAGAACCACGACTTCGACTGGGACAACACCAAGATCCTGGGACAGGCTAGGCAGAAACAAGCACGAGAATTCCTGGAAGCATGGCACTCCACGAAGCATGCTATTAATAAACACATTGAACTCGACCCCATATACATTCCACTATGGAGGAAACCCGGAAGTGAGGCAATCCATCGCAACGGACCCCAGAGTTTAAAAACCAGGCAGGAAAACACACTGACGCTTCATCAGAGGCTGCACTGAGGATGTTACCATGCACAGTAACGAAACGTCTGCGGAACAACAAACCAGCTCGGCGAGCCAACCAACCTCAACATATAGATCACATCCACTGTTCATCCCTCATCAAACATAGAGTCATAGAATTATTGAGTAGTACAGCATGTAAACAGGCCCGATGGCCCAAACTGGTCCATGCTGACCATGGTTCCATTTGCCTGCATTTGGTCCATATTCCTCTAAACCCTTCTCATCCATGTACTTATTCAAATGCTTTTTAAATGTTGCAGTCGTACCTCCCTCAACCACTTTCTCTGGTAGCCCATTCCATATTCCCACCACTCTCTGCATGAAGAAGTTGCCCCTCAGGTCCTTCTTAGATCTTTCCCCTCGCACCTTAAACCTATGCCCTCTTGTTTTCAATTCCCTATCCCTGGGAAAAAGACTATATGCATTCATCTTATCTATGTCCTCAATAAGGTCATTCCTCATTCTCCTATGTTCCAAGGAATAAAGTCCTATCCTGGCCAACCTTTCCCTATAACTCAGGCCTACTAGTCTTGGCAACATCCTCATAAATCCTCTTTGTTACTTCTTCAAAAAACTCAATTAAGTTAGTGAGACACGATTTCCCACACAAAAAGCCATGTGCAGTCCATGCCTTTCCAAATACATGTAAATCCTGTGCCTCAGGATTCCTTCCAACAACTTGCCCACCACTGATGCAAGTCTCAACGGTCTATAGTTCCCTGGTTCTTCCTTACCATCTTCCTTAAATAGTGGTACAACATTAACCAGCCTCCAGTCTTCCGGCACCTCACCTGTGGCTATCAATGGTACAGATATCTCAGTAAAGGGCCCAGCAATCACTTCCCTCTCTTCTCCCAGAGTTCTAGGGTACACCTGATCAGGTTCCGGGAATTTATCTACTTTTATTCATTTTAAGATAATTGGCACTTTCTTCTTTGCAATATAGACATTTTTCAAGATGTTGCTATTTATTTCCTCAAATTCTCTAGCTTCCAATTCCTTCTCCACAGTAAACACCAAATGCCACATTCTTGTTTAGTATCTCCCCCATTTTCTGCAGTTTCACACGTAGGCAGCCTTGCTGATCTTTAAGGGGCCCAATTTTCTCCCTAGTTAGCCTTTTGTCCTTATGTAGTCATAGAATCCCTTTGGATTCTCCTTTACCCTATTTGCCAAGGCTATTTCATGTCCCCTTTTTGCCTTCCTGATTTCCCTCTTAAGTGTACTTCTACTGCCTTCATACTCTTCTAGGGATTCACTTGACCCCTGCTGTCTATACCTTTGTTTTCCCTTGACTGAAACCTCAATTTCTCTAGTCATTCAGCATTCCCTACACCTACCAGCCAGAAACTATGTACCAATGCCATTAGACGTCAGAGCAGAAGTAGGCCACTCAATGAGATCATGGCTGATCTGATAACCCTCAACTCCACTTTCCTGCCTTTTCCGTAACTCTTGATTCTTTTATTTATTAAAAGTCTATCTCAGGCTTGAATATACTTATGGATCCAGTCTCGACAGCTTTGAAGTAAAGCAGTTCACAGATTAACTACCCTCACTGAATAAATTTCTCCCCATCTCTGCCTTGAATGTGCAACCCTATATTCTGAGATTATGATCTCTGGTCCTAGACACACGATCATGGATGCTTTGTGTTTAATTCAGTTTCCCTATCCAATCACCTTGTCCCTTGATCCTTTGTAGTTAGAACCCTGTCATGTCAGTCTTAAATATATTCAAAAAAGCAGCATTGCCAAACTCTTCTGGGAGAGAATCCCATATATTCACAAAAGAAGAGCATTACTCTGCATTACTTATCCTACTTCTACCTCTAAATCATTTGTTTTTAATGCAGCCTATCCCTTTACAGTTTTGCATGTTAATCTTTCACTTCCATTTATCTAGATCAGATCAGATCTCATCCTATTGTAATTGGTACTTATTTAATTAAATATTTTGCCATGGATTATTTAATGTCCTTCTCCTTATCTCATGTAAACCATACAATACGTATAAGAAATGAAAAAGAGATAACAACTCCACCCCGACAGAAAAGTGATCCTTTTGGGCAGCCATATTTGGATTGTGACCCGGACTATAATTACATAGACAAAATCCTAACCTGTTGAGAGATTGTGTTTTGTTTAGTTCCAGGAAAAAAAAGGAATTAGTTGGTTGTTATGCGGCCTTTAAAATGATGCTGAAGGTGGGAGAATTGACCAGTGATTTTGTCCAATGACCTCAGCACTTCAGTATAAAATAATGCAGTTGAAAGAAGAATATTCTCCTTTACCTGCCAAACTTCCTCCCCCCAAACCCCAGCCATGAGAGTCATTAGGCTAATTATCATCGCCAGGCTGAGTAAGGCTCTTGTAACTTCAATGTTATATTCGTTTTCCTTTTGGCAATTGCTGAAATCATTTTGGTGTCTACAGTATTAACTATGCCTCCTCCTGATGTTGGTTGTTTTTAGGCTGCTTTTGTTTGATGTTGACATACCTCTTAAAGTGCTATTTAACTATAATCTGATGTACACTTCCTACTGCACTATTTTTTGAAATCCTGGCAAATTAATGTTAATATCTAGTTTCCATTATACCTCTTGGCAGGTCTGTGCAGATGCTAGCATGCTTTTATCGTCCTGGAGGTGACATGTAAATTGAACAACACATGCTGGAATGCAGGAACCCCACCTATTTCTGGAAAGCTGACATATTATGAAACAAACAGAATAGTCTTACATGAAAACAGAAAAATGCCTCAAATATTTAGCAGTTCTGGTAGCATACTTTTTTCTTGATGTTAAACAATCACCACTATAATCTAATTGTTCTAAAACATAAAAATGGAGAAAAACAATATAGTTTGAGGTTCTTGTCCCAGAGTTTGCCTGACAAGGTAGGAGCTAAAAATACATCCCATCCTAAAATAATTTTAGGCTGTTGAATTTTAAGTATTATTTCCATTATGAAACATGATTAAGTGAAGTTTTTTTAAGTGCAGTCTAGGAATACAGAAAAACAAAAACACACAAATTACCTTCACACATTTAAAAATATCATGGCCATTTGGACACCATAATGTGGATTAATACTCATGGAACTATCTCTAAAAAGTGAGCCACTACCTTTAAAAGACAGAAAACTAAAATAATCAAAAGCTACTAAAAATAGGCCTGTTATACCCTGCCCTTTAAAAATATTGATTTTGATACATTAACAACTGGAATTTTTAAAAACTCATTAAGATTGATATTTTTCTTGGCATTACTTCCAAACCAACCTTTCTTCCCCATTAACGTTATTGAAATGCTACCAAAACTGCATTATATTGTATATTAGTAAAATGATCGTAAATACAGTGCAACTAGGTTTCATACAAAGTATGTTTTCAAAAGTTTATGCACTGCATTTGTGATTTAGAGGAGAACTAGTTTAAATCCAGCCTGCCTGTCATCAAGTCAATTACAAAGAGAAAACTACTCTTAGACACATTTTTGCAGCTCGAGACATGAGCAACTGCCCGATTCTACCTACCCTCTTTAGTCCATATGTTCGTCAGCTTGTTGGTTACAGTGTCCTTCAGTGCACATAAGTCACTGTGGCTTAAAGATTGTAGGATTTCAGTGCACCCTGTTTTTTGCACCATAGAAAAACGAGACATGCTTTTTTTCTGTTTAAGTTTGAGTTTAGTAAAATGCTTAAAAACAATGCTGGAGGGAAAAGAAAATCTATTTCCTTTAAGTGGCACAAGTAACTCACATATAGTTTCCGATTAAAGAGAAAACCTTCAAAATACAGATTCAGTGTACTTAAAGCGAAGTCAGGGTGAAGTGAAACTCAAACAAAGGAATTGCATAATGGAAAATCGAAACTCAAGACCAGCTGACGTGAACAGGATGCAACAGACACAAAGAACACAACACACAACTAATTCCTTTCCTGAAAATGAGACCTTTTGAAACACTCAACTTTGTAGAAATATAGGTGCAGTGTACCCTCCTCCCACATTAACTTAAATTATAAAAAGTATACAAAATTTTAGCAATAACATCTGGGTGTCTGTGGGCCAGTTATGTGACTCTAGAAATTAAATCTAAGATTTTGGCATTGCATTGTGAAGGTGCCTTCAAGACAATTTGACTGCTGTCTCAGTTAGTGTGGTAAGTGGTTACAGCAGGAGGGGCAGCAAGTAAGAGAACATGAGCAATTGGGTATGGTTCAATAACATCGTATCATTATGAAGAGCCTACAACCTTGTTTTTGTATCAATGCAATTTATACAGTCATCGCCTTCAGGTAGATGGCTTTAATGATAAACAACAGCTTGATTTTATTCTGATTATAAGTCTTGCGCAAATTATATCACACAGCTCCAAGTAATGCTCCAAGGAATTAAGTTTATTTCCAACAAAACAAATCCATCAGTTACTGTGATCAAAGACTGACTCAGCGACCCGTTTTATTTGTTGAAATATGATACAGTACATGCAAATCAAACATAAAGATCATTTTGCAGACTCAGATCTATTTATAATACATTCACATTTCATTAAGCTAACAATATCTTTTGATAACGTGAACTATAAATCCAGTCTTCAACAATAATTAATAGAAAGTATATACCAACAAACAGAACTAAAATGTCGAACTGTATATTTAGGAAGAACACAAATGTGTTGTATAACTGATGCCAAATAGATCATTGACTTCTACTGTTGTTCATACTTCAAATGGAGTGCTAACACAAAAAAACACATTTAATTTCTATCTGTCTTCAGAAATAGATGCACTATTAAAGTTGAATACTTTGAAGTGTGAAGTTTATAGATCTGTTCAGAACACTTGTGGCATACTCTAGTGCACACGCTAAATATGTTAAATTATATTCGTAAGATTGGACAGGACTATCATATTTCAACCCGGCAGGCACTTTAGAGATCAGCTTTGATCTAATTAAATGGCAGAAAGGCTGAGGGGTTGAACAGCCTACTCTGTTCCTATATTGAGACGACGTCTGGTAGAAACAAGATAGCTCATTAATGGTGCTCAGATCTTCAGCATAATGGACAAGCTGCTTGGCATTTCTTAATCATTCAACTAAGCACCAATATTTTCATTTTATCAATGGTCACAGAAGATAATGATATTTTGGAAGAAAGGTCTCATCTATCAAGATTTAGTGCGGGTGGAATTAAATGTCAGCAGAGTTGAAAATGATATCAAGTAACGTCTTAGAGGTTAGCTAGGTATTATCTCTTTCTTTTCCTTGTATCCACTTTTATGTTTTGGCAGGCAGATGTGGTTGTTGTGTGCAAACCAAGCTTCTATAAATAGCAACATAATGAGTAACTAATTAACTTGTTTTTGACTCCTTCAACTAATACTGACAATTTTAATTTGGGACAAAAGAAAACTACTGAGAATGTTGGAAATCTGAAACGAAAACAGAAATTATAATATACATTCACCAGATCTGGCACTGTGGAGATGGAAACAGAGTTAATATTTTAGGTTGCTAAACCTCCAAACAGTTGTGAAACATTAACTCTTTCTCTCTACAGATGCTGACAGTCCTGCTGAGAACCTCCAGCATTTCCTGTCCTGAATTTTGGATCTCATCTGATGATCAGCAACTCCAACACTGTAATACTCCCACAGTATTACCATACAGCAACCTAGTTTATTTACTCATGGGACTGAAAGGATGTCAAAGCCAATATTCTTAATCAGGAGCCAAGTGCCAGCAATAAGGAGTCACCGTAAACTGAGAAAATACGGCCTTATCGACTACATTCATCAATTATGATCTAAGAAGAGAGCAAAGGTTCATAACCAGCCAAGGTAGGGCAGAAAAAGTGAGAGGATTTGTTGAAATAACACTTATCTGTTGAAGACCAATTTTGTAACATTTCTTCGCTCAGGAATTTTGACAATATTGCATATAATAGTAAGATGATGCATGAGCAATAGTCTGTTTCCATTAGTTTTTTTTTGACACCAGAATTTACACACTAGCATGAATGGTAGTTCTAGCTGCATTACAGTATAATTTATTGCCTTCTGGCACACAGGCAAAGTTGCACTTTTCATTTTATGAAGCAGAAATGAGATTGTTGCGTCAGCTAATTGCTATCATGAAGGGCAACAGGCCACGCAGCTTCAATCACAAATTCCTACGCTGTGTTCTTCAAAAACTTGCAGTAGCTCATTGGATTCGTATTTAATGACAGGTGGCTCCGAATCCTCATAGGACTGGACAGTGGGTGGTGATGTTGTTGCGCCATGACCAGTAATCTTTAGGTGAACGAACTTCATCTTCCAATTGTTCTCACTGTTTGGACAACGGATAAGACCAAAGATTTGCTCAAAAATTCCCAGGCATACTGATTCTCTGTGAATGGTACCAGCCACTGCAATAATAACTAATCCATGAGGTGAATGGATGCACTTCAGTCCACTGTTAGTCAGGTTAGGATTCAAGTATAGATGTTCCTCTTTCGTCAGTGCTAATAAACGAAGGCTGACCATAACTGCACCAGTGTATACCTCCATCTGCTGCTCAGAAGTTCTGTATGAAAACTTAAGTATAACATCTTCCCAAAAATGCTGGGGGCCCCAGTCTTTCGACTGTTCTTCCAGTAAAGGATTCTGGGAGTTCAGAAGCTGATAAAACCACTTGCAGAATTCTAGCCCCATTGCTTGGTAATCATTCCTATAATTGGCTGTTAAATCATTCTGTGGGACATAACTTCCTGATGTACTTCCTGAAGAATTATTTGTCTAATAGAGAGAAAAGAAATGTACATTTATTCATGGCAGAGAATATACCCTATACTTGAATAATAAACAGATTGGGCAGATGATTTACTTTTTGCTTCATTTTATTTTGAAATAACTATAAAACTATGCACAAATATTGTCATAAAGATTAGATTGAGTAACTGCATTTGCATAGGCCTCCTTCGTGGTGGATCTACGGAGTTCTTTACCGCAGAGACTTGGCTGTTAATTGCATTCAAGGCTGAGATGGACAGATTTCAAATTGTTAAAGAAATCAAGGGTTATCGGGATAGGGCAGAAAAGTGGAATCGAGGATTATCAAATCAGCCATGATTTCATTGAATGGCAGAGCGATTTGATGGGCTAAATGACACACTTCTCCTCTCTGGTGTTGAGGCGGTGGCCTAGCACCTGAAGAGCGTGCAGGGAGCAGAAAACAGATGATGGTGTGGCTCTTTTCATTCCTTCGGCATGTCTAACCAGTTTTCTTGCTACTCATTTAAAATCCTTGTTCCCAGTAGTCCTCCCAAGCACTAGGTCGCAATGCTACAAAGAATATCACCCTGATTTAACATCTGGATTTTCATTAATTGAAATCATTCTAACAAGAGACCAAAAATGCTGACTTAAATTGGCCATACACATCATCTAATCAAGGTAAATTGGGCAAGTTTCTTGAAATTAACGTGGATTAGGTAAAAGACCGCCTGAACTGAAATTAACATATTTCACCAAGGATAATGAAACCAGTCAGCAGGCATCCCAGCAGGCATGCAAAGACCTTCATCTCCTATTCTGATTTATGCCAATATGAGACTAATTACATGTTGGAGATGAAATCTTGCCTACAATTATCAGGTCTGAAAATAAAAGCAGTCAGGGAATATACAACCAACTACTTAAAGGGGCTTATTTGGCAGATCAAAAAAGGTGGAATTTAGATTGCAGAAATGAAACAAGTTGGAGAAGTTTCTCTGTATCTCAAGAACTCGTGCATCCGGTTATATCTCTCACTCGAAAGAAACATCAGAAAACTGAAACTGAAAAGAAAATTGTAATATTCTCCCCTGCTGATGGTCAAAGAAATCAACTAATTAATTGCAGGTCTCACTTTACAACTTTTATGACTCAAGGAAACCATAAGGCTCTAAATTATAGAGTATTATGTGCTGACCATGATGCCACTCTAAACTAATCCTATCTGCTTGCATATATTCTTTTAACTTCCTTTTACTATTTCACAAATCCCCATTTACTTTACGCCAGTGAGAGTGTGTGTGCACACGGTGGGGGGTGAGAAGGGGAGTGGGGGTGGAGAAGAGAGAGAGGGGCCCAATGAATGCACACAAGCTCACATGCTTGGTACTTGTAATTTTATCATATTTTCCTCAGTGTTATCAGGTAATAATGCCTGTTCTTTTACATTTTACAAAACCCTGGTTAATGACTTCTTACTGCTACAGTAAATAAAATAGCTAACTACATTTTGATTGTTTGATTGGAGAAAGGTGTAGTCACGAGTTAACAAAAAGAAGTTAACCTTTTCTTGTGACCAAGCAGGAAGGATGAAAAGACAGGAGTCGTTAACTAACAGCTATAACAAAAATAAAAACCGAAAGAACTGCGGATGCTGTAAATCAGGAACAAAAACAAAGTTGCTGGAAAAGCTCAGCAGGTCTGGCAGCATCTGTGAAGGAGAAAACAGAGTTAACGTTTCGGGTCCGGTGACCCTTCCTCAGAACTGAGCTATAACAAAAATCCTTACTGAAATATCTTCACTGTTTTCTCACTTAGCCCAGGAATCAAATGACTTTTCATTCACTTTTTCAAGTTGTATATCAATTTATAATGCTGAAGTCAGAATTGTTATGGCACAGTGTGATCACAGCCTACTGTGTCTGCATGGGCTCTCCAACGAGCATCATGCCTTAGTCTCATTGTCTTACCTTTTCCCATATATTTTTACATTGTCTCTATTCAAATAATCATCCAATCATCCTTTTTTTTTCTGAAGAAGGGTCTCGACCCGAAACGTCAGCTTTCCTGCTCCTCTGATGCTGCTTGGCCTGCTATGTTCATCCAGCTCTACACCTTGTTATCTCAATCATCCAATGTCCTCTTGATTACCTCAACTGAACTTGCTGCCGCCACCACCACAATCCTAAGCCATGATTCCAGACCTGAACCACTTGTTGTGTAAAAAAGTTGTTTCTCTCATCCCATTTGCTATTTTTGCAAATCATGATAAATTTGTGTGATCTTGATATTCATCCTTTTACAAGTGGAAACAGTTTCTCACAATCCACTCTATTCAGACCTCTCAACTTTCATAAGTTTATCACATCTCCCCTCAGCTTTCTTCTCTCCAAGGGGAGCAATCGAACCTCTCCAATTTATCCTCATAATTGAAGTTTCACATTCCTGAAATCATTCTTGTAAATCCCTTCTGCACTCTCTACAATCCATTCACATCCTTTCTATTGTGTGGCACCCAGGACTGCACATAGTATTCGAGCAGAGGGGTCTCCACCTGTTCTGTGTCATAAAGTGAGGATTGACCTTCCTCTGAGAACTAAAACCAAAACACCCAAACAGGAACACCTTGGCCCATAATCTCTAAAAGGAGTGGGAAAAGTGGTGTAACCTGTTTTTCAGCAACTTCTAGTGGTTAAATAAAATAAATCCCTAACACTCACTTTAAAATCAATAAGTAACAATTTATTCATCTAACCCCAAACAGTGACAAATTAACTAAAAACTATTAACAAACCAAATAAATCCCTTCTAACTAATAACTATTCCCGAATAAAACAAAATTCTAATGGTATGCTGTTCCAATAAATACAATTCACACTTACTTAAAAAACAGATATTAATCTCCCAAAATTACAGCCAAGCTAAGTGTCTTCCAGAGTGTTCTGTGCCTTCTCTGTTGATGCTTCTGTCAGGAATACGAACTGGTCATGCTGTTGGTTCCGTTGTTATTTAGATAGTGCTCTCTCTAAGACATAGAGGAGGCTGTGGAGCTAGCAATTCTCTCGAAAGCTGAGGGTTGTTAGCTTTGGTGGATGGCAGTTAGCGCTGGGGCGTTGTCCAACTGTCCCCTTCTTTTATATCCTTGATGACATAACAATATTTCTTACAATAGGATTGGTACTATGTTGTCAAAACCATCAGATTTAAATTTAATTGGTTTTTGGCATCTAAGTGCTTGGTTCAAATTGATTGGCTAAATTCAAAACTTGTTGTCTTGGTAAAAACTGCTGCTTGGCCTGCTAAGTGTTTGGCCTTGCAATACAAATATTTCAATTTGGGCACTCTGTGTGCTTGCAAACTTTCAAGCTGCTGCTCACAAACATCCATTTTAAATCTCTAAGCACAGAAAAACCAAAAGATCTTTTAAAGGGACCACACAATACTCCCCTCTAGCATTTTACAAACCCCAAATTCTAACTTTCTGCCTCCCAATCCACAAGTACTCTACCCAACTTTGCAACACCTGCCACCTTCAGTGATCTTCGCCCCTCTGCTCCTGTATCTCCTTAACAATTGTGCCCCCCCCGCCCCCTCACCCATTTTATACTGTTGGCCCATGTTCTTCCTGTCAAAATGCATCATCTCACACTTCTCTGCACTGAACTTCACCTGCCACCTATCTGTCCACTCAGCAACTTTGAGTGCTAGATATTTCATCATTGGCCTGTTATGACACTTCTCTGAAGCAGGTGGATCTTGAGCTCAATAGGGTCATGAACACTGCAGCACAAACGCTCTCCCTTTTGGAGTTCTACATGATCCTCTTCTCAATTTACAATGCTTTCACATTTCACATAATCAGCAAACTTTGTAACTATCCCCTGCACATCAAGATCTAGATCATTAATAAACATCCGGAAAAACAAGGGTCCCAATACCAATCTCCAAGGAATTTAACTACAAAAATTCCTCCAGCCTGAAAAATATCCATTGATCATTGTTTTGTTTCCTGTTATTTAGCCAGTTTAGTATCCATGTTGTTACTGTGCCTTTTATTTTATGAGGTAAAACTTTCTTCACAAGTTTGTTGTGTAAAAACGTAAAGTCGCCATAGTCCTACTAGATCACAAGGGTGTTTGCTCAATAGACACTGACAACTAGTGGTGTTTTAATCTGAGGGTCATCACATCTCAGGCGAGGGGAGAGGTTGAGAAGGAGAGTCCTTCATGGTAACCTCAGCCAATGTGGGAATTAAACACACAATGTTGGCATTACTCAGCACTGGTACCAACTGCCCAGTCAATTGAGCTAACCAACCCCTCTGCTTTGTTGTGCTGTATCCAATGTCTTTTGGAAGTCTATGTAAACCACATAAACAGCATCATCTCTTTTTGTTACCTCTTCAAAAAAAACTCCAAGCTTTTTCTACTTAACTACTAATTCTATACTAAATAATTGATTCGAGAAGTTTCCCTACCACTGAAATTAAATTGACTGGCCTGAAAGAGTTGGGTTTTACTTATAGTCTTTTCTGAAGAAAGTTTTATTATCTGTAATTCTCCAGTCATCTTTCACTCTCACCCTTCCCTTACCACCACCATGTGTCGAGGGAAGACTGAAAGATTATGACCAATACCCATGCTATTTCAACTCTCATTTCCTTCAATATCCATGAACACATCTCATCCAGTCCCAGTGCCTTGTCAACTTTAAGTACCAAAAACCTATCCAAAATTTCTTCCTCATCAATTTTGAACCCTTCTAGTGACCCTCCTCTGCCACTACGGCCTGGGTGGCTTCTACCTCTTTTGTAAAGACAGATACAAAGTATTTATTTAACATCCCTATGTAATAGCAGTCCTATGTAATTTCCCTGCAGTTCTGTTCCTCTGTCTCCATCCCACTTGCTGGTGGTGTATAGATTACGCAGAGCAATGTAATTACACCTTTTGTTCCTTAGCTCTAGTCATATTGATTCTGTTCTTAAATCTTCTGGGGCAGTCTTTCTCCAATACTGCAATGCT